ACGTAACCATCTCTTTTCTGGCAGATCATCAATATGGAAATCTTCCTGCCTCTCCCTTAATCAAGTTCTCTCACTCATTTCGAAACGCAGAACTCAAACCCATATTAATTAGTTGTTAATCTCTAAGTACGTACCATCAAAACATATATTTCTATCCCTCGTTGTTCAATCATTAGGGTTTAAGTTTTGCAAGATGTGGGAAGAGATGGCGTTGCGCCATATTCTACCAAGATTGCCTTCAAAATCTCTAATGCGATTCAATTGTGTTCGTAAATCATGGTATACTTTGATCAACAATCCCACGTTCGTGGAAAATCATCTCTCTAATTCGATGCACAACAAACTGTCCACTTGCATCCTTTTCAATCGTTTTGTCCAGAGCTACCCTAACCCTAGCGAGAAGGAACTTGCATTCTCCTTCCTTTATCTCCGTAATGATTATGATGATGCTGAGCATAACGTCAATTTTGTTGTTGAGGACATCAAATTTCCACTTTCTTCGGGACAATATATTGGCCTCGAGGTTACAGAATCTCTCTATATTACAGGCCATTGTGATGGGATAGTTTGTCTAAGGGATTATTGTAGTGGCAACCTTGTTTTATGCAATCCAGCAATCAAGGAAATCAAACTTCTTCCCAAATCAGGCCTTCCAGATTGGTGGGCATGTGCTGTGGGGTTTGGATATGATCCCAAATCTAAAGATTACAAAGTTAGTAGAATTGCAACTTATCAGGCGGACATTTATGGTGATGGTCTTATTTATCCTCCTAGAGTTGAAATATACACTCTCATTACTGATTCTTGGCGAGAGATCAAGAATAATTCTTTAGAAACAGAAGCTACTGTCTTTTTTCCTGATTCTTTCCAGATTTACTTCCAGGGAATTTGTTATTGGGTGGGGTTTGAGCAACCAAAACTATCCGTGGAATACGAGGATGAGGAACAGAAGCCAATGGTCATTTTATTTGACACGGGTGATGAAATATTTCATAATCTATTATTTCCTGATAGTTTTTATATGTATGAGGAGGGATCATCTTATGGTTATGAAATGTCTTATATTATGTATACTGATCTGCGCATTATACTGTGGAATGGATTTATTGCTCTTTTTGGCTTTAATCGTTTTAGTGCATTTCCCGACTCCTATGGAGTTTGGGTGTTGGATGACTTTGACGGTGCTAAGGGTTCTTGGACAAAACACCTAACTCTTGAGCCATTGGTGGGCATTAAGAGGGTATTGGAATTTTGGAAGAGTGACAAGATTCTTATGGTTACCGAAGATGGAGATATAGTATCTTACAACCTTGCAACTGAGAAGAATAAGAATCTTCTCATGAATAGCCCATCTGATTTCGAAACTATTGTGTATGTGAATAGCTTAGTTCCAATCACCGGCGGCATTAAGCTTGAGAGTGCAGATATATAATATCTCACTTTTTTCTGTTGTCCAAAAGCTTAATAAAAGATGTACCAATAAGGATGAAATGCTGTTGAAATTATATTAAATTTATTGCCATTCAATAGGATGAGTACGTATCGCATTTTTTTATATAGAGAAAATAAAAGCAAACCGGACCTGTTGTCCTAATCAACTGGCCTAATCCGTATATTTACATGACCTATATCTTTCAAATTTCATATAATTTAAAGATATATTACCTGGGATTTAGCATTATGTGGTTGTGGTGGTTGGGCGGTGGCAAGAGGAAAATCTATATGATTGTGTTTGTGGGTCGAGGAAGTGAAGGGGGGTATGGGTTGGAGAAGTTATAGCGGGTGTTGTGTTGTGTTGCTGTGGTTGCATTTGATTGAGACATCCCATGTTTATCCATGGACTTTAAAGTCTTAAACGCAATAGCAGCATCAGGAAGTCATTATTAGTGCTCTAACATTCCATGAGGCCATTGACTTTGGCAGTTTGACGTCTTAGCCTAAATGGCATAAAATAAATCACTACTACAACTCTAATACTAGAATTGTTTCTACCACAAAAGCGAATTTTTAATTGGTTTGAAAACTCTACAACTTTGTTCTAAAAGATAGGATGCCTCCAATTGCAACTTTTTTATCATCATGCACAAAAGTTAGGGTGCAGATCGATGAATAACGTAAAAGTGTTTTCAAGTTGACCTGGCTCGTTGAAGACGATCACAGATGGTCAAAACTCACATAATCTTTTTCGCAGATGGTCAGAGTCAGCCCATTGCCTACGTGGTACTCATAGGCCATGATTATGATGGCGGTTGCCTTTCAATACAAGTGGTTGGTCTATGCGGTACTCGTACGCAAGTGGTTGGTCTCACATAGAACCTGATATTACTAATCTGAGAATTAAAATTCTTTTTTATTGGACTAGATCCCGTTGGCAGCTTGTCCCTTTTTTTTCTTTGTTGATAAAAGCTTATTTATGTAGGTATAAATTGGTGGATTGGATTGGATCCCTATTTTTTAAAATCGATATGATTTGATCGGATGATGGATTTGCTTGTGAGAATTCAATCCAATCTAATATAGTTAATTAGTTTTATGCTTATTTTGCTCATTTACGTATTTTAATTGAAAAGGGTTATGTACATTTTAAGTCATTTGATGAAGTTATGCTTAATATATTGTAAAATCAAAACAATTTTTTCGAGCATTTCATTTTATATTTTAAATTTACGTATATTAATATGTTTCATTAGATTAAACCTAACGATAAATGTTTCATATTTCATTGTCTTTTTTCATACCAAAATCGATCATCCAATCTAATATCAATATTGAATCGAATTAGATTGAATTTAAACCTCTAATCCGATAAGATTGGATTGGAAAATTCACAATCCAATCTTTATTGGATCAGATGCGAATTGACTAAATTATATCGATTTCAAACCGACGCTCGCTCCTCATAAGAATACTAACTTATATCCCTAATAAAAAATACCAAGAAAACCCTACCTATTTTGCTTTAGGTTTATTGGGAGTACTTCAAGCAAAAGAATTAGCATGGTTTCATATGATTATGATCATAAAAAAGGTTCTAGGCTTCTGGCTATTAAATCATCAATTAATTGTACTATACAATAGAAACCTTCAATTAATTGTACGAAAGCGTTCAACTATAGGTACTAGTGGATTCTTTGCGTTTCCTTTTTCTGTTTATTTGTTAAGTGGCTTCCTTATGTTTTATTCTCTATATATATACATATATGATCAAAATCGGGGGACACACCAAAAACTATAAATTTATACATACACTTCCAATGGCTTCAAATGCATCTGTCATTGTTTAAAAAAAAAACAATATTATTTCATTATTACTTCTATGTGGTTCTCCTTTTCTTGTCAAAATTGGTGTAATTCAATTCAACCAGACTAGAGGATTCAAAGCAACACCAAATTACAACAGAGAGCAAGAGTCCAATGAACCAGGGAGAGGGACTACGAGCAGAAATAGATAAAAGTAAAATCAGCAAACAGAAAACGATTACAAACTGGTATAACATTTCTATGTGCTTCTCCCCTCTTCTCCCTCTCTTCTCGTCATAACCATTTGGAAAACAGACATTAGAATGAAAAAAATTTGATTAACTTGTGGGCATAACTTGAGTTCTCTGAATTTCTGAAAATGAAATAATTCTTCTCATAGAAATAATTCGGCATCCCAGGTCTTTAGGGGAAAAGGTTGATTAGAAGAATTGATGTTTCCTTTGTTGTCGTGTTATAATCAGTGGCGGTTCTAAATTTTTTCACAAAAAAATAAAAAAAAAAACCTACATGTAAGCAAAGTTATTCTTACCCATCCCATGTAATGGTGTGAACCCATGCCTACCCAAACTTAAGAGCAACCCATATTATATGGCCCAGTCAAACTTAAAAAAGGAAAAAGGGGGAAAGCAATATAAGTAAGCAGCCAATTCCTTTTCGGTTGTGCAATAGTCGACAGTCCCAAATCATTATCTTTTGCAGCTTCTTCTTGAGTCTGGACGTTCACTCTTGGTAGCATTTTCTCATATCTAAGGCCAATAAGTATTCTTCTATTGGGTTTTTCCTAAAATAAATGTATGCATCTTAAGTTTTTTAATAGTTTAATTTAGTTTTAGATTTAAATAGTTTAGTTTTTTGTTGCATTGCATTAATTTGTTTTTTTAGTTTTTTTAGTGTTAAGTTTTTATATATGAGGGTAAATCTCATTACGCTCTCCCCGACTAGGTGTATCTTTTTATTTTTATGAATGAAATTTATTCGGACCGTCGAGTTTTTAAGGTAAGTTTCGCCTACCTGACTTTTGAATCATGAATCCGCCACTGATAGTGATGAGAAATCCGAAAGCTTGGGTTTTGTTTACTCTCATTGATTGAGTACCCATAGGCATGGCAATCCAACATTATTCTTGAGTTTTGAGTTGAAGGAGAACACAACCTCCGGTTCAAAAGCTTGTGTGATATACCCCCATAATTAGCAATCTTCATATTCATGGTCATCCAAAGTGTGAGGTTTGGAGTTTATGATGTAGCCATGGCCGCCAAAGCTTGAGCTTCCCATTAGCCACAATTTTCAGAGTGGGGTGGGAGAGGCTGGGAGCTGCGAACTGGTAAAAAATATGAGTTTTCTAAAGGTTAAAAAAAATGTGATTTTTAAGTAGAATTTTCAACAAGTTAGGAGAGTAAATAAAATTAAAAAGGTTTTTCTTTTTTGGGAAGAGAGGGGAGACAAAACAGAATTAAAATATAATGACTGCATTTAAGTAGGGATGTTTCCAATGTGAACATTATAAGATGCAATCTGAATCGTTAAAACTGTTTTAATCTAATGGCTTACAAAGTGTTTATGATGATTTTTTTGTTTATACATGTACATTTGGTTCTTGAGAAACTTGTGGGAAAAGGTAGCCAAAGTTGGATGTACCTTTCTTACAATTTATAAGTGAGATTAATTGCGACAGTACGTACCCCTGCAACCTTCTATATAAGCAGCAAACAAAATGATTCGTAGCTGAGATCGTGTTGTATTTCTTGTTGCTTTAGTATTCTCTAATTATGGGGATGCTGAAATCGTCACTCGCTTTCCTTGTTCTTGCTTTTGCTTTCTTCTTGTGTTTCATTATGAGCGCTGGTGATGGTGGGTTGCTTTACGATCTTTTGCTCTATATATCCTCTATGCTTATAATCAGCATTGCGTTTTTCTACTTGTATTTTTTGTTCAGAGAAACTATTTTGTGTGTTCGATGATATATCACATAACATGCGGTGTATTGACTTCACCCACATATTTTTCATTTAATCTAACGCACAACTTTCTTCGGATAAGTAAGTATTGGGGATTGCTTTTCTGCATGTCCTCTTTTTTTTAAATTCTGATAATTGTTGCAATCAGTGCAGCCTATTCATCACAATAATTTTGGCAGGATCTTACGACTATTTTCAATTTGTGCAACAATGGCCACCGACCAACTGCAGAGTTCGCATCAAGCGACCTTGCTCCAACCCCCGGCCATTACAATATTTCACCATCCATGGCTTATGGCCCAGTAATTATTCAAACCCAACGGTGCCCAGTAATTGTAATGGGTCAAAATTTGACGCAAGGAAAGTGGTATGTATTGTTTCTTTTTTCTTTCGCTTACTCTTATTCAAAATTAGATATAAACCCAAAATCTACACTTTTTTTTTAAATAATGAAAATCCAATAACTAGCATTATTCTACATAAGTAAATTTGTCATGACGAGATGATGAGTCAGTTGATATTCAATTAGTCAATTTTTGTGTGGCCTATTTTACCCTCCTACATTTTTTTCACCAACCCATTATTTGCGTAGTTTAATGTTACTAGATTTGAGCTTTTTAATAATTGCCAATTGTTTTTTTTTTTTTAAATTTATTTTATTTTTAGAATTAAGAAAAGATAACATGGGTAGTTATGTTCCATAAATGAACATGTGCCAATTGGTTTTCTTTTTTCTTTTTTTTATTTTATTTTTAGAATTAAGAAAAGATAACATGGGTAGTTATGTTCCATAAAAATATGACATATTATCTGATTTTGTTTTTAATTTTAATTTTTTAAATATGAAAATGTGAATTTACCATATTATCATCATTTAATTAATAATTTCAATTCTTAATGTTTGAATTAACCAATGATATTTTCTGGTATTTTGAATGTTTCATAATTCTCTGCCTTTTGCTTTATATATATAGATTTTCTCCTCTTTCTCTTTATTTATTTATTTATTTATTTATTTGAGAGATCCTCTTTCTGTTTCTTTTGTTGTCTTCTTCTTCTTCTTTTTAATTTTTTTGGTTCTTGATGTTGTTGGTAGAGATTTATCTAGGTTATTTGTCTACCTAGGTAGAAAGGGTTTATGTTAACTACCTAACAAATAGGTTCGAATGTCAAGGTAGCCTATCTAGCAAAAGGAAATACGATTTGTGAGTTTTTTTTTTTTTTTTTTTTCATAGGTAGGTTTATTAACTTATATCTTTACTTTTTCTCTTGTTTTTCTTACTTCTTTTTATAGATAATGGTGGTAGAGACTAGTCCAGGTCATTTGTGTACCTAGGTAGAAGGGTTTGTGTTGCCTAGAAAGTTTACTTAACAAAGGGGAACAAAATGTGAGAGTTTTATGCATAGGTAGGGTAGACTAATTTACGTCTTTCTATTGATAAGGTAACACAATTTATATTTTCTGTTTATATTTGAGAGTGGTGTTCTTCATTTTGATCTTTTGGCTAGGTAAATTATATTCCTCTTATGTGCATTATGCCAATTTTTTAGCATAAATGTTTAAAAGTCAAATTCAAAATGTAAGAACACTGCCTTAAAGAAAGAATTTTTAATTTGTTTCCATTATTTTCCTTCAAGGCAAAAATTGCCAAAAAAATGAAGTAATAAATGCAAATGGGGCCTCAATTCAATAAGTGAAATACAAGATTTTTTTTCCATACATTTTTAGCATGAAACGGGCTTATAATAAATACATAATATACCTTTTACAATAAAAATTTCGTGTTAAATAAAATTTTGATATTGTTCGGCTAGACACATTATTTTAAATATACAACAAAATATAAAATTGTAAGTACGTTTATTTTATAAGTATATTGATATATCTATGAATATTGGTCTGCAAGTCAATGCTCCTTTTCACTGGGTTACACCCCATTAGCTGTGTTTTTGCATTTGAAAAGTGTGAATTTGAAAAGTGTGTATTTAGGTGAATTTTGCAAAATTTGGAGCATTCAAATAAATCCTTCTAAATAGGCCTTGTTTTTCTCCCCAAACTAAGGGTAACAACTTTTTCTTTTCTTTTTCTAATGACAAACACCAGGTTTTTCTTTTCTAGCATCTACAATGATGTTCCCTATTTTTTAGTTAAAATTTAACTAAAAACACACAAAAGCTATTTTAGGAGCTCTCTATAAAATTTGAACTCCAATCATACTCTCTAGTTTAGAGAGCCATAAATACTATAATTATTTTTTTAATTCAATATAATTGACCGTCTCTATACAAAAATTATTTTAAAAAAAAAGTTTGCATTAATTAAAAGTTTAAAATATGCATAAAACAAATATTAAATTATAGGGAGTCATTTCTCTCTCCTCATATTTAGGAGCTCCTAGAGGTCTTTCTATTTTAAGAGGTGGATATTGAGCATAGTTAGAGTTGTATTTTTCCAATTTCTCCATAAAATTTGTCTAAGGATGTGGTTTAGGAAGCCCATTGTGGATGTTCTCAGTTAACTCCTTCTCTCTCTCTTTTTCTTATGTGTCTCCATATATATATATTGTTGAATTGGGGGGAAAACCCCAAACAACACTGTGTCTCCATCTTTTCGATTTCTTCTTTTACCTCAATTTTAAGCAATTGAACACGGGCGTCAACACCATCCTGGAAGGAACCAAGCTCATTTATCAAATGCTCTTTCTCCATACTTCATTCACTACAAAATAATAATAATAATAATAAGTAATAGTCACCATTATTTGGTGATATTTAATGACTAATTTAATCACGAAAAATACCTTTTTTTGGTGACTTACACTTTTGTTTTTGTTTTTTGGTGACTAATTTGAAAATTAAAAGCTATCAGTTGGGGCAGTATATTCGCAAACTTGCAATAGCTTTGTGATTTTGATTTTCATGACTTTCAGAACCAATTTTTCAGAAGATTTTTAATTTCTCATTTTTTAAGATTTATTTTGGATATTGTCACCGTACATTTTATATATAGAGGCTTTTTCACGAGAGATAAGAACAACTTTGATGAGAGATAGCTAGGAAAGGATAACGGCAGTACATTACCATCAGGTTTAGAAAAAATAGACATAAACTTCGTATGATTTGAATACTCTATATTTTGTAAAAAAATTTAACTATCCCTTACGTAACACGTTTCTATTTTTACTCAAAATATGTCTATATTGCTTGGATGCCTCAGTCACCTCAACTACGAAACAAACTGACGAAATCTTGGCCGGACGTGGAAAGTGGCAATGATACAAAATTTTGGGAAGGCGAATGGAACAAACATGGTACGTGTTCCGAGCAGACACTTCACCAAATGCAGTATTTCGAGATATCCCACGACATGTGGCTGTCCCACAATATAACACATATCCTTAAAAACGCTACAATCGTACCAAGTGCCACACAAACGTGGAAGTACTCGGACATAGTAACACCCATTAAAATAGCAACTAAAAGAACACCCCTCCTTCGTTGCAAACCTGATCCAGCACAAAATAAGAGCGGACCGAAGACTCAGTTGTTACATGAAGTGGTACTTTGTTATGGATATAATACAAAAAAGCAGATTGACTGTAATCGAACAGCAGGATGCTGGAATAATGTTGACATCAAGTTTCAATAAAATTATAGCTAGCTTCTAAGTCATGATAAAGTAGCATGGTAAATGCTGTAATAAAAAGGGGCCCTGTATCCAATTTTCATGTATCCTCTGGAGGCTGAATCTTCCTCCTCAAATAAAATCTTCCTACTCAAACGTTGAGCTTCACATAAATTAGCAATTTCCTAATGGGTAGTGAAAGTTGAATACTATGGTTGTAAGAAAGGTGATGAAGGGATTATTGGTCCTGCAGGTTTAATCAAACGTGCAATATTTCGTATATTATAGTATTTCAATTTCCCGAATGGTTTGAGGAATTAAAGGATTGGAATAGAAAAATGCATGTTAAATGTGCTAACGAATGAGGAAGAATTGAGAAGAAGAAGAAGAATCAAGAAATCAGAGAGAGAAAATGAGAATATTATCTGAGAGTTCTTTTTTGATTATTAATGAATATAACAGTACCCAGAGCCTTTTATTAACGCAACAGTCTTGACACCTCAGCACCCTTGCTATTAGCCAAACAAAATGTACTTATAATGGCGTTCAATTATCCACAAAAGAATTTCCAAAAAATTGATTAGTCTTGACACCTCAACACCCTCACCTTACTAATTAGTTGTAGTCCTACTTCTATATATACAAATAAAATCAAATGGTCCCTTGCCGTCCCCTATTTCTCAACATCTCTCCAAAACAAAATATAATGCTCATGTTATTCTCAACATCTATCAATCTCAAAACAAAACATATTACTCTTCACAATACACTTAGAGATGATGAAGATAGTGAAAAATTTGAACCTCATAGGAACTCTATGTAGTACTAAGTCATTCATGTATCTTACCATGCAATGTATAAAGTGTAAAATATTGTAGTAAATCATTATATATAAATAATTATGGTGTTTTAATCTTCTTCTATTAATTACTACATATTTTCTACACTTACAGTATTTGTCAACTAGCTAAATAATCAACTTAAATCAGTTAAACCCATCATGCAATGCATTTCCTTTCAATTTTTTGTGATAAACTAATAGATAATTGACTAAATAAATATCCTCCAAAGCTTCAATAAAAATTTCAAAGTTTTTCTTATAATTTCCGTGGTTTTTATTCAATTTTTATCAATATCTATAATATCCCGATATTTTCATCGAAATTTCTGTATTTTTGAACTACCAATATTTCCGAAACTATCAATATTTTAGACCTTGGTTATAACCACATGATGAAAGCAGCAGCTCAATTTAAATTTCTTGAAGCTAGCTCAGATTTAATTCAAGTCTGTTTTGGTCAGAAAATGAGATTCATTCGAAAGCAGGCCCAAAAGCCAGAAACAAAACACCAGCAAAGCAAGCAAATACAGAGAAACCAACACCACGTACAAGGGAAACCGAGTCACAGGAAAAGAAAGCTGAGCTACAATAAACCCAAACAAAACGCCCCCCTAAAACGGAGGAGGGCAAGGTAAACCATCCCCGGATAACAATCAATATGAACGGGGCTGAGAAGCCCATCTTTGATGTCTCACCCTCGAGTTCAGCAATGTAGCCGCCAAATGAGCTCCTTTTGATTTGCCTGTCCAAAAGAAGAAAGAAGCCTGTCTCGAGATTTCCGTTAAAATAGGGTAAAATCTTCCAATGCCCACACCGGAACTCCATAACGGCAGTTCACCACTTCTTTTGAATCACACGCCACAATAAGCTTCCAATGCCCCCAAGCACAGCTTCTGCTTCCACTCCTTCCGGAGAAGATTTCCAACATGCTCTTCAAACTTATTTGCAAGACCAATTCTGGTGAAAGCTCGATTCTCAAGTCTGAGCGGAAGTTTCACACTCTCTATCATTTATTTTCTATTCCTTTTCTTTTCTTCCAGATTATTTCATTTCATATCCAAAGTCGAAATTCAACATATACAAATAAAGAAACAAATGAATTTATGAACTTCTTTTTTAGACGTTGCACTTGGATTTAATCTACCAGCTATTCTCCTATCACAGAATAGACGTTGCCTCCCGTGACCGAAACTAAAGTATTCACATATACAATGGTTTCGACACGAAATGCACTCTCAGTACATATTGGAAGATTTTGAAGCTTATTCGTACCAAGGTTGTAAGATACTATATCTCCACATCCGGTAACCAAAAGAATCTCGTCACTTCTCCGAAATTCCAATATCCTTTTAATGCCTACCAAGGACTCAAAAGTTAAGTGCCTAGTCCAAGAACCCTTAGCACCGTCAAAGTCATCCAAGACCCATAATCCGTAGGATTCAACAAATGAACCAAAATCATCTAAGCCAAACAGAGCAACGGATTCATTCCACAGTCTAATGTTCATATCATAACGATATTCTGAAGACTCGTATAAACTATCTGGAAGTAATATATTATGAAATACCTCATCCCCCGTGTCAAAGAAAAAGACCACTGTATTCTTTTTCTCATCCTCAAGTCTAAAGTAAGACTGGAATTCTTTTGGTTGCTCATACCCCAACCAATAACATATTCCTTTCCAGTACATCTCGAAATCTTCAGGCCATAAGAAAGTAGTTTCTGTTTCTAAATAATTATTCTTGATCTCTCGCCAAGAGTCAGTACTGAGAGAGTATATTTCAGAGGTAAAAAAACAAGACGCTGACCATCATAAATTTCCTCACCATCACATGAAATTCTCTGAACTCTGTAATCTTTAAATTTGGGATCGTATCCAAACCCCACACCACACTGGAACAACTGTGCAAGGCATGATTTGGGAAGAAGTCTGAGTTCCTTGATAGCTGGATTGCATAAAACAGTGTTGTCACTATAATCACTTAGACAAACTATCCCATTACAATGGCCTATAATACTTAGAGATTCTATAACCTCGAGCCCAATAAATTGTCCCGTAGAAAGTGGAAACTTGATGTCCTCAACAAAAAAATTGACGTTATGCTGATCATCATTATAATCATTTGGAAGATAAAGGAAGGAGAATCCAAGTTCCTTCTCACCAGCGTTAGCGTCGCTCTGGACAAAACGTTTGAGAAGGACGCAAGTGGAGAGATTGTTGTGCATGGAATTGGAGAGGTGCCTTGCTAAAAACATGGGATCGTTGATCACTGTATTCCACGATTTACGGACGCACTTGAATCGCATTAGAGATTTGGAAGGCAATCTTGGTAGGATATGCAACATCATCTCTTCCGACATCTTGCTATACTCTGTCACTCCGGCTTTGATCCACTCCTTTTTCTTCTTCCACCTCTGAAAAAATTATTAAGGGGCTAAATTGACAATATACAAATAATTCAAGGGGCAAAACTGCAGAACACCCCATTCGAAGTACACCCTTAAACTTCAGTTGTACACCCACTCTAGACATTATTATCCTAATTTTTATCCCTAATACTGGAAAAATTAAAATAGATAGATAAACGTTAATAAAATGAAAAAGAATAACCTACCTACGGTCCCTCCCCCATTCCCCAATGTCAGGAGACGCCGTTACCCCAAGTCCCTCCTCCCCTACTAACTAAGAACTCCGGGTTGTAGTTTAATGTGATTCAAAACATCCATTCAAAGCGCTGTCGATTGCTTTGAATCTAACAAATCCAATAAATCTTCCGTTTAAAGGAAGAGGGGGCGGGCGGGGGTGGGTTGGCCGCCACTGGGGTTATGGAGGGTGTGGGTCTGCGAGAGGGGTGCTAGGGGGAAGGGTTGAGGATTTCTTTTTCTTTTCTTTTTTTCAGCTTTTCTTTTTTATTTTTAGTTTTAATTTGTTTCTTATCTGAAAATCTTATCTGACATGGGACACGTGGAGCAATTTTAGAGGGTGAAAATCTTATTTGAAATATGAGATTATAATTTTTTTTTAAATATCTGAATATCTTATCTGACATGGGACATGTGGCGTAATTGTAGCGGGTGAAAATCTTATCTGAAATATGAGATTATAATTTTTTTTATATAAATAAACATTCGAAAATTTTATTTGAAATAAGACACGTGGCAACCAAGATTCTCATTCGAAAATCTTTTCTGAAAAATAATGGACACGTGGCAAACCAAAAATCTTATCCGAAAATTTAATTCGAAATTTTTATCCGAAAATGTTATTTGAAATTTTAGGTGATAATTTTAAAGTATAAAAAAAAATATGAAATAAAGTACAATGAATAGTATTTGCCATTGACCTAGCCTTTTGGGGTGGAACCAAAAAAGGCAAGGCTGCCACTATTCATGTGAATACTAGCAGCCCTTACCTTGCCTTAGCCTTAGCCTTAGACTTTTGGAGTGGACATGCTCTAAGACATTGACAAAATTAGCCTTACAAAAAACCTCACTTGTCTTGCACATGACTTTTAATGTTGAATCGGATGGAAACGGAGCTAGGTGGCACATTCGCACCAAATTCAAAGTTTGGGTGGAATGTTGTTAAAATAAAAAGTTTGGGTGGCAATTGCACACATCCCTTATAATTCATAGTTCAGGTGGTATTTATATAAATTTTTTAAACTTTTATATATTCTCCAAAGTATAATAATAATTATACCACATTGCTTTTATTTAAGAAAAAATAAAAAGATTATATATATATGTATATGTTCTCTTATCTAGAATACATGGCGTCCGCACGATAATAACGTCTGAATGTCTATATAAGAGAATTTCTATATATATCCCAGAATGGGCAGAAGGCCTATGCCAATTCCCTTGTTTAACAAACAAATTTCTTTTATAATTTCTATGTGGGACGAAACTTGGAATCTTTTAGCAAAAAATCTTATTTTAAATTCCACTTAAACAGATGTATGATTTCATGAAGGAAGTTAAAGTTTCACCCAAAACCAATTGGCAATAGGAGGAGTAGCCCAACTCATTGTAAACTCAGGCTAGGTTCCTTAACTTTTCAATGTAGGACAAACACTTTTAACACGCCTCTGCAGGTGTGGCAAACTTTCACGCCTTCCTCCTTATATTATAGTTTATATATTATATTATTTATTTAATATTATAATATATTAGATTAGTTTAAGGATTTTTACCTTAAAATAAATAATATATTTGGGTTTTTTTTTCTTCTGTAAATTAACCATAAAACAATAATTAAGCCTTAATATATTAACAGGCTAGCACTTGCCTTGAGTGCTCCTATTTCAAATCACCATTACTACTTTTTTCAGTACAAGTGATCGTCTAAACTACATAGAAGATGTATTTCTCACACACACACACAAAACTATGACGTCTTGGGGATTCGAATATGAGACCTTTAATCTGCAAGTTAAGACCCTTTTCCACTGGGTTAGACCGCGTTGACACCATTACTACTCATTTAAAGGTTGGTACCTCTGCCAAGATAATTGTAAATTCTATATTCAATCCCAATTATCTTTGATAGGTTAGCCAACAAATTTTTACAATGGCATCCGCCTGCGGTATATATAGTCCCTTTCCATTAAGGGATCCCTCAAATAAAATTATTTGAGGGACACCCTTTAGGGTATTCTACGAATTTTTTTTCAACAATCCAAACAATTTATTTTTCAAGTCTTCATTCATAGATCATCCGTGTAAAAAAAATCAGAAAAATTGAAAATCGTTAAGGCACCTAATTGCTAGGAACAAAATAGATGAACATGATACTTCAAGAAAAGACTAAAATAACAATAATCTAATTAAGTAGTCAAATGGTTTCAGATTTAAGTGATTTTTTGCGGATATGATCTTTGAGGGAATACCTAAAAATTAGACGGTTCAAATCATTGAAAAATAATGTGTGGTAGACCCTACAAGAGTGACCCTCAAATAAGCTTATTTGAGGAATCTCTCAATAGAAGCTCTATATATATATAAAGAAATGCTGAATTTCAGGAAAGTGTTTTCATATAATTGCATTTTATGATAATGGCATATATTGTAAATTCCTAAAAAATTATGGACATACTAATTGCTTACTTGGCGAGAGTGGACTGCAATTAAAAAAGGACAGCATGGGGACTGCATCCATTATATCTTGACAAAAATGGACCTATATCTAAAAAGTCCTAATATAAACCAGTTTTACAAATACCTAAACGAAAAACAAGAAAATTCCAAAGAGTAATTTAATACCGAAAGAAAAACCATTGAATTCCTTATGATATAGAAAGAGATATATATATATATATATATATATAATCCGAAATAATGATACCTCTTAAAAGAGCTTTGGCTGTGTTGCTCAAGGTTGGGAATGCTGGGTTCATATGATGATAATGATTCAGCAAAAAGGGCTCGAAATATTTTGATGCTTATATGAATGGGTTTGAGTTTTGGGGTTCAGAGAGAGAGAGAGAGAGAGAGAGTTTGGATTCTATGGAATTACATCAACGAATGTTGTTTGATGCTTCCCCTCAATTTGAGTACTACGTTCGAGGGGCTTTAAGTTCTAAACTTCTAATCTTTATTTGGCATAAAAATAAAAAATTTGTGTTTTACATAATTTCTTGGATTAGCAGAAACTAGTACCATGATAATTATTAAAAACTTATGGTTTCTTTTTAAGGAAAACTTCAGATTTCTTTACATTATTGATCATTGCTTCACCTTGTCTTGTGGTGGTGCTTTATTTAAGGACGCCAAATTCCTTGGTCACTGTATTATCCATTCAATAACGTTCAGCCAGGATCTTATTCATTTTTTACTCCGAGAAGCTGGCTTGAAATGCAATTCTTTTTCCTTTTTTCTTTTTTTTTTCCTTCGTCGTGGAGGTTATAAGTATTCTAATTTTACATGACTCTTTCACACAGCACTATATTTTATTGTTTGACGCACACGAACAGTTAATTCGGTTGGCTATTTTATTGCTTTCCATGCCCATCACCAGCTTCAAAAGTGAGTCATTGGACTTTCTGCAAAAAATGAAAAAGCACCATTGTTTTCCTAACCTTGTTTTGTTATGATCCATACTTTAAATTCTGACCTATTTTCGTTATGATTTTCTTCAGGATGACATTCACACTGCGTAAGAAAGAAATATTAATAAACATTCTAGTAAGACTACCTGCAAAATCCCTCGTTCGGTTTCTGTGTACATGCAAATCATGGAGTGATTTGATTGGTAGCTCAAGTTTTGTTAGCACACACCTTAATAGGAATGTCACAAAACGTGCCCATGTCTATCCACTTTGCCTCCACCACCCAAATTTTGATTGTCAAAACGGCGATGATGATCCATTTGTTAAAGAAGAACTTCAATGGTCACTTTTTTCCACTGAAACATTTGAGCAGTTCTCCAAGTTAAGCCATCCCTTGGGGAGCACAAAACATTATGTGATATATGGCTCAAGCAATGGTTTAGTTTGCATTTCGGATGAGATATTAAATTTCGATAGTCCTATACACATATGGAACCCATTGGTTAGGAAACTTAGGACCCTTCCAGTAAGCACCAACATCATAAAATTTGGCTATGTTGCTCTTCAATTCGGGTTCCACCCAGGTGTTAATGACTACAAGGCTGTAAGGATGATGCGTACCAACAAAAATGCCTTGGCGGTTGAGGTTTATAGTCTCAGAACAGACTCTTGGAAGATGATTGAAACAATTCCACCTTGGTTAAAGTGCAGTTGGCAGCATCATAAGGGTACATTTTTTAATGGAGTAGCACACAACATCATTGAGAAAGGTCCTATTTTCAGCATTATGTCATTCGATTCAGGCAGCGAAGAATTTGAAGAATTCTTAGCACCAGATGCCATTTGCAATTCATGGTGGTTAAGCATCGCCGTTTTCAAGGAACAAATTTGCTTGCTTTATGGATTTTATGGTTGTGACGAGGAGGGCATGGACAAAATTGACTTATGGGTTCTCCAAGAAAAACGGTGGAAACAACTGTGTCCTTTTATTTATCCTTTGGGTAATTGTTATCGTATAATCGGGATTAGTATAGATAATGAACTCTTAATGGCAAGAAGAGATTTCGGTAACGGCGTAGCAGATCTGTATTTGGGCAAATACGAATCCAAGCAAGTTCTTGAAACAGGAATTAAGTTGGCCGTCATGAGATATGGCGAAATCGAATTCTTGTTCGCAATTACTTACATAGAAAGTTTGGTTTTACTCAATAATTATTAAGAAATATTAGTATATAGTGATAATAAAAAATTTAATAATAAGGATATGGCAAATTGTGCATTTTTGTTTTGAGTTTGATGAATGGATTTTAAATTTTGTTTTAGAAAGCTCAATCAGGTTGTCCAAATACAATTTTACCTTTTTTGTTCAAAAGCTTTGTCAAAATAAGATCTCAAATATGAGCCTCTCTCTCTTCACACCCTCGCCACGCAAAGAGAACGCGTACATGGCAAAGCTCGCAGAGCAAGCTAAGCGCTACGAGGAGATAGTGGACTTCGTTGAGAAGATCTCGTCCTCCGCCGAGAAGGAGGAGTTGACCGTGGAGGAGTGCAACCTCCTCTACACGATGAAGACGACTGTCGATGGCGACGTCGGGCGGTGTTTCCAATGGTGTAAATGACAACCTTGACGAGGTAACGTGTATGCTGTCATGGTTGTTGCGTCGTTGTTTGCGCTTTGACTCGGCGAACGTATGTGGCTGATGTGCCTCATCTTGTGGAGTCTGAGTGAGCTTTGCAATTGATTCAAGCGATTCTCAAATTTGTTCTACAAATTCTTACCTTCAGGTTAATTTCTTTACATGAATTCTAATTTTAAGAAAAACGAATTCTCAAGTTGTTGTTGGTTTTTTTTTTTTTTTTTTTTTTTTTTTTTTTCCCATTTTCCCGGGATGTCTTTTCCTTCTTCTAAGAAATGGTTGCTATATTGTTCTTATTTCTTAGAGTAAATTGCCGTACACTCTCTTGAACTAGGACCCCAATCGAACTTAACTCCCAAACTAAAAAGTCAGTCAATTTAATACCTGAATTAATTAAAATGACCAATTTAGCCCTTGTTGTTAAGTTTTGTGAATATCATCCAATAGGATACTGCCACCTGCCAATCTTCTTTACAAACTTTTAGAAACATATTTTATTAAGAGGAATGCTAGCAATCTTCTCTTTAACCTTTTCATTTGGACATTCTCCCTTTTTTACTTAACATGTGTCATTCTCCTTACACTTAAAATAATGTCATTAATATATTATACAAGCTAACTTTTGCTTTCCAAGTTTACCCTTATTAAATGTATTCAATTTATCCAAAAAAATTTCACAACTTTCTTACCATCTTATTAATTTTTTTCTAACGTCAATTATTTTTTTAAAAAAGAAAATGTCTGCTTTTTTCAAAAAATAAAATTAAAAGTTTAGTGCTAATTGTTAGTAAGTTCACCCATGTTTAGGGGAAATTAGTTCTCCCTATTATTGAAACAATTAATCTACTTAGTTCCAGAAAATCCTTAAATGATAATGTATATACATATATATATATGTGTGTATAGCTCATTCCAAAAAAAAAAAAAAAAAAAAAAAATCATGTTTCAGCCATTGTTTTTAACCCGATTCCAATTGATGCTTAATTATTATAGTTTGTAATAAGATTGTCCCACTGTCCCTCCCTTTCTTCTCTTGCCTGATGAACTAGTTAACAGGTTGATGTTTTATTGTAAGATAAAAGGCTCAAATCTCTCACATATTTGTCTCTTATATGTGTATAATAATAATAGGGAAATAGCTTAAAATGCCACCCATTTTATAATTTTTTGTCAAAATACCATCCCTCCCCAAAATTTGTAAAACTACCACCTATAAATACATATTTATTGTAAACTGATTGCACCCATATCACATTTTCAAAAATTGGGTTCTCTCTTAGCTCACTCAGCTCTCTCTCTCTCTCTGGCACAGCTCTCTTTCTCTTTGGTATATGTCTATCGCAGCTCTCTCTCTCTCTCTCTAGCGCAACTCTCTGTCTCTCTCTTTGCTATCTTTCTCTGGTGCAGCTCTTTCTCTCTCTGTCTCTCTCTCTAGCTTCGTTCTGCCTCTTTCTCCCCCTATTCGCTCTCTTGCTCTCTGTTTGGAATTGCAAACCCCTCCCTTGACCCCATATTTTAGTTATGTCTTCTGAATAGCAGCTTGCAACCTTGAAGCTCTAGTGGATTGCCGACCTCAAAAAGGTAGTGTTGATGGTTATTTTCTTAATATCAGTGGGATTATGTGAAATGAGTTATATTTTGATTGCTTAGGTTTGTGTTAAATTCGTTTTGGGTTGAATTGCTTTGGGTTAGGTTTTGTTGAATATTCATGCTCATTCATCTAGGTTTGTATCAATTGCATTTAGATTGGTTTGGATATGTGAATCTTGAAACTTGGGATTTTCCATTTGATGTAGTAGATCTGTATAGTGTGATTTTGATGAATTCTTGTTCACTGGCTGTGTTAGTGGTGTACTGCTGTTGTGTTCATGTTATTTTGATGTCGTATTGCTGTTATGTTGCTGTTATATTGCTATTATATTGTTGTTATATTGCTGTTACATTACCATTTTATAGCCTGGTTATTGTGGTTATATTGTGTTAATGAAATATTTTGTCATGGTCAGAAATGGAGACAATGGTTATTCTCGTGTGCTATAATGGAAAATGGGTGACCTCGAAGAAGATGTGCAAATACTAAAGGGGTGACTCAAAAGGCTTAATAGTTCCACGGACCATCAAATTTGCTGAACTGTTGGACCATGTGCATCAGATTGGTAATACAAATAGCAGGGAAGACAAGGTTTGCTTAAAGTTCTCAGTTTTGGTGGCCTCGAATGAGTGGAAGCACATAAAGATTGAGGACGATAATGATGTCCATTTTTTTTTTTATAAAGTACAATTCTGAGGTAACACATTCAAAACTAGCTCCCTTACCCGTGAGTATAGAAGATAAAGGACTGACAAATGATGTAGTTGATAGTATGCATATCACGACACATAGTAGTCGGATGGGTCGTTCTTCAGTTGCCATTGTTGAAAGCAATGAAGTAACTTGTAATAATACAAATGTTAATGATATGGGAGGTGAAGTAGGGACAGATTTTATGGATATGATTGATTTTTAGGGAGGTCGAGGAGATGCATGGTGGTGATAATGGTAATGAAAGAAATGAAGTCTCAGTGTACTCTGCCCCTCCTATTTTGGGCTGCTTGAACACAACTGCCCAATTGCCAATAATGCGTTTTGGAGGAGAATCTGAACCCACTCGTGAACATTATTAGAGTCAAATGGGTGAACAGAACCGGTACAATGAAGCCAGTGCAAGTGATGGAGAAGCATATTTGGACAGTGGGTTTTCGCGAAGTGATTGGAATTCGAAAATTACAGTTGGGCAAATTTTCTCTAGTAAGAAAACATTATTGACGGAGTTACGATTGACGGCATTAAGAGGCCACTTTGAATTTAAGGTGCAATTGTCTTGCACAAAGAGGTTACTTGTGGTTTGTTGTCAACGTCCATGCCCATGACAGGTCCGAGCATCGAGAATTGGAGAATACAGCTTCATGATTGTGAGGTGTACAATTGTCCATGCATGTGATTTGAGGTTCATAAGTGACAACCATCTTCAAGTAACCGCAGCACTTGCAGCCACTTCATTTAAAAGGAAGTTTAAGGATTCTCGGACAATATACACACCAAGTGACATTATGAGAGATGTGAAACACAACTTTGGTTTCACCATCCATTATTCGAAAGCTTGGAAAGCAAGGGAGTTAGCTCTATTATCCATTAGAGGATCAGTGGATGAGGCATATTATATCATTATGGCTTATTGCTATGAATTGGAGCGTATGAATTCCGGCACAAAAACATACGTCCAAACTGATGAGAACAATCACTTTGTGTATTTATTTATGGCGGTTGGCGCATGTATTAGAGGGTTTCGTTCTTCCATGCGCCCAGTGATAGCCGTGGGTGCCACTCATTTAAAATCCAAGTACAAGGGCGTTATGCTTGTAGCAAATGCATTCGATGGTAATCGAAATATATATCCTCTTGCTTTTGGGATCGGGGATTTGGAGACAGATGCATCATGGCATTGGTTTTTCACTAAACTTCATGAAGCCATTGGTAAGTGTCCCAATCTTGTTATTATTTCTGATCGCAATGTTAGCATAGAGAATGTGTGGAACAAAGTTTTTCTAACTATGCAACATGGCATATGCTTTTATCATATGAAGGGGAACATGAAACGCACTTGCAAGTTGAAAAGCGTGATCAAATACTTATGCACTTTGAACAGGCTGCGAAATCTTATTCCATTGCTGAATTTGATTGTCATTTTCACGAGATCAAGTGAAAGGAACATGTTGCTCAATATCTTGAACAGGCAGGGTTACATAAGTGGTCTAGAGCTCACATGGATGAACGCCGCTACAATGTAATAACAACAAATATTGTGAAGTCAATCAACTCAGTCCTTAGGTTTGCAAGGATGTTGCAAGTGGTTCATTTGATAGGGGAAATTATTAATCTCCTTGTGAAATGGTTCACCGAATGTCGTGAGTTGGCTTTGAATTGCACAACAACATTGTGCCCCAATTTTGGAAAGAAGAAGTTGAGGAATAGGTTGGAGGATGCTGCAAGGATGAATGTCGTTAAAGTAAATAACGCACAGTTTAATGTTTTGGACGGTGATATGGACGACCTCGTAGATTTGACGAACAACAGTTGTAGTTGTAGAAAGTTTCAGCTTGAGCAGCTACCTTGCAAGCATGTAGTTGTAGTTTGCCGCTTCTTGAACGTAAATGTATACTCAAAGGCTTCTCGGTATTACACTCAGAAAACTTAGATGGATGCTTATTTGGATAGCATCTACCTGGTACAGCCTCACGGAATGTGGGATATTCGTGAAGATGTTCGAAGTTGAGTTCTGCTACCTCCTATGGCAAGGGTCATGCCAGGCAGACGAAAGAAGATAAGAATTCCCTCGCAAGGAGAGGGCACTATTACAAGAAAGTGCTCAAGGTGCGGTTCCGCAGGCCACAACAAAAGCACCTGTAAAAACAATATTCCATTGCGCAATGTATGTTAGACAATATGATTTGTGTTGCTTTTGTAGGTTATGTAAACTTTACTTTTATTTGTGGTGGGTTTCGTGTTATGTTGAATGAGAATTATTTTAATCTTGCATAATTTAGGTTGCATTGCTACAGCATGTTGTATTGCTTCCAGATTGCTATTATATCGTACTGTTATTGTATTGGTATTGCCATTGCAATGTAAATTGTGAGTGCGAACTTAAAGGCCATGTAATGTAATTCCAAATGGATCCAAAACATTAAAGTGCTTAGAATTCCTTTATTACACAGTTACCATGATACTCCTACTATACCTTCTTTTCTGATTACAAATTCGGCCGATGCATGGGCCAGATGTGGGGCAAATACAAGGTGAAATGTCCTATGTGTTTCACTACATATAGTTGTTGAAGGAGCATTAGGAATGTTAACCCCCAATAGATTACTCATGTCTTGCCAAGAACACTCTTGAATTTATGCAATGTGCCCAAGCCAGTCCTAAAGCTGGACTCACCCGTCTGCCTGATGTGTCCAGGAACTCCAAGTTTCCCAACCTCACCCCATTCACTCCATCATGTGGCCCAATAAAATCTACTATTTTGTCACGCCCCAGACCCGGGGGTCGGTGGAAATCCCGCGCCCGGTGCGTGAGTAAAGAAAATAAAAACTAAAATAAAATAAACAGAAAGCCGAAATAGGGTTTAAAATAAACTTCTCTTATAAAAATAAATCCAAAAATCTTACAACTTTACAATAAATAAACAAAGCTATACACAATAATCTAATTCAGCCTCAACTGGTTTAGTCCTTTTCTTGCCCACTAATTCATCTGAAAAATTAAACA